CCTATAAAAAAAATTTCACTTTTTATTCTTGCAGACATCCCACGTTTATGAGTTAAATACCTTTATGTTTTAGCAATCTTCAGCTTCACAAAGATAGCTTTTGTACTAGGCAATACCTAACGGTGAAACTTGCAATTTATTTAATAAAACCAACAAATTAGTGAATTCTGAAAACAGTTTCCCTATAACTTAAAGGCTTACTGAAAACTATTTTGTATCTGGCTTTGAATTTCAAAGGCTAGTGCCTAAGGCATTTGACTACTAACCAGAAGGCTGGCGGTTCAAATCCACCAGCTATTCCTTGAGGGGAAGGTTGGGCAATCTACTTCTGCAGTGGTTAACGCCTTGGAAATGCAAGGAGGGGTTGCTATGAGTCAGATCCGACTCACCGGCAGTCGTTATTCAAAACGAAACTGATAGTTAATCTTACTAATTTTCAACACCTTCTTTCCAGAGGGGTGTTGTGCTACCTTAAATTATGTAACATGGCTCTTCTGTTGTTATGCGCCATCCAGTTGGACCGACTCATAGCAACCCCTCCTTGGGTTTCCAAGGCAATATCACTATGGAAGTAGACTGTCCAACCTTCCTTCAGAGGAGTGGCTGTGGATTTGAACCATCAGCTTTCTAGTTAGCAGTCAAGTGCCTTAGGCACTACACTACCAGGTCTTTTTGACTCCCACCACCCACTGGGTAGGACCATGCTTCTGGCCCACCAAAAGGATAACTTGCTAATGTAAATAAGGTACACAGCACCCTTTTGGGGTTAGACCCATGTACATAAGGTGCATGAAACCCTAATGTGGGAACTGGTCAATTTTGGTACCTCACTAGGCTTAAACTGTGCCATCCATCCTAAAGGCAGAAAGGGGGATCTCACTACCATCAAGAATGAAGACCCAGGAGAGGAGCTCGTCCTTTGGATGCATGATTACTGCACTGAACTTCCTCGATCCAGGAGAGAGCTGGTACTCTTCGCTGAGGTGGCGAGACAGTGGCAGAGAAATTGCAGCAGCAGCAGCTGGTGCAGCACCAAGACCAGAACGAGACACAGCAGTTGCCTTCCAGGTCCACGGAGGGAGAGCAGAGTGCCTTCAAGCAGACTTGATGGCAGAGTGGGGTGCTTCTCTGGGAACCTATCTGCAGAGCTAAAAGAGGTATGTAACACTTGCCAAGCAGAGGAGAGGCCAGGCTGACGGGCCCAAGATCAAAGACAGGTGTACCTATGGGCATGGCTGAGGAGAAAGTGTCTTGATCGAATTGTATCCTAAGTGTTGCTGACCTTAAATTATAACCCGTTAACTTTCCTAACAAACCCTATAATCTTGAGTATTGTCTTAAGAACTCTGTGTGGCCACTGCAACGAATTATCAAACCCAGCAGAGTAGCACAGTGCCGTGGAAGGGATGGGATGGTTATATCAGAATTGGTAAAAAGATTGGAGGGTGGTGGCGAGTGACGTCAGCCTCACAGAAATCAGTCTTGGGTTATTATTGATGATGACAGTTGAGTTTCTCCTCTCCTTGTGAAGTTAGAGATGAGGCTACACCTCTCTCACGCCCTTTCTGTAAGTTACATTTAGGAACAACTGGAACACAGTGAGTTTTAGGGCAAAGAAATGTGATTAACAGGAAGGCATGGGTACCTAGAAAGGGAAGTGCCAAAGGCCAGGCCAATAAAGCTTTACATTACAATAAAATGTTCATAACCTTAAGCAAGAAAGTGACCATAAAAGCAAATTACTTTTGCATTCACTTAAATTATAATTGATTTTTAATATAGATTTTTAATTTTCATCATATGATGATGAAGTGAAAAAACAGGAAAACAAGCCTATATATAAATATGATTTTAAGGGCAGTAAACAAAAGTTCATAGTAATTGCTGCTGCTAGATGGCTGAATTTGGCACTAGAATTCACTTTCTTAATCATCTAAAATGTACACACATCATTATTCCTATAATCAGAAATGGTGGAAAGGGAAGATAAAATTTCCTTTTCCTAAAGTTATGTTCAAATTTACACATACCACCACTAGCAGACTATCATTCACAAGCTGGCACAATTTTTGCACAGAACTCCCCAGAAACACGGCTTCTACTAATAGGGTGCTATCAAATGTGAAAACAGAAAAGCAGCTGCCCATCCCCATTACCCACTGAAGTCTTTACTAACCTCAAGGTCACTAAGTAAATAACTATGGCATCAGAACTAAGACCCCAGTCAATGATTAGCTGTTAATGTTAGTCAGAAATAAAAATATATACAGCATTATAATCTGAAATCGAATTCTTTGTTTTCTGGAAAGGAAAATGAAACTTCACCTCATTTTTAAATAGTTTTATTTATTCACACAGTATTTTAATCTCCCTTGAAAGCTATAAAATAAAGACCATTTACTTACTATTTTTCCACATGGTAAGCACTGATCTTTCCTTTAAAAACAAAACTATGCACACACCAAAAGCTTTGAGCAGGAACGCGCAAAGCTCTAGGGGAAGTATATATTCCTGAAGTGGCAGATCACAATTTAGGGATATACCTTTTAAGAACTGTTTTCTTTTTTACCTTTTTAATAAAACTCATTTTCAAAGTAGCATTATTTTGAAAGATTACAATCCCAAACTAATTTCTATAGCAGATTATCAACTTCAGAAGAACATGTGAGCTAAGATAAAAAAGAAATTAAGAATGTTTTTCTTTGACCAGAATTTCTGAATTTGATAACCGTATTTGTTGTTTCTTTAAAAAAAAAATTAACATACTATACACAAAATATAATTGTTAAACTTTTCTTGTAAATACAAGAATGGGCAAAGTTAAGGTCCATCAGTTAGAGAAAGAATGAAGGTAGGCAGTGCATTTAGCAACACATATGAACTTAAGGCCTTTGTTATGACGGTAGTTTTACTACTAGCAACAGTTATTACTTTCCCCTATGCTTACACACACAAGAGGCAAAGCAGTAATGTCTAAACATGTAAGGAATTAACACAATTTATAATACTATTGGTCAATACAGTTATACTCCTTGAAAACAACTGCTGGTAGTAAGATGTGGTTAACAATTCATACAGCAATTAAAAGTAATAATCGAAAGTAAGAGTCTCCTATACAATCAGAACATCTGGCATGTAAAACAGTGAAGAACTCCATGTATACTTCTATTTTGCAGATGCTACCAAGACTGTAATAGATCTCAAAGCTAACCATTGTATAATACATTTTGTAAAACATCTATCTAAAAGTACACTGCACAAGTGACATTTCTGAACACTAAAACCAAACGTATACCTGACACTACTGAACAGTAGCCTGTAAGAAAATTTCAGGTTGGGAAATTTCACTTACACTTCTTGCAAAACTTGTATTCATTATTTCAATCATCTGTCACATTAGGACAAATTTTCTACAAAGCACCAGAAAAGGTAGTAATTACGCTGAAGTCAGGAGAGCATATTCCAGCTCTGCCTACCTGTGAGCCACAGGGAAAGTTTTCTTAACCCTCATTAAGGCCTCAGATTCCTCAACTGTGGGACAAAGGGGTTTAACAAAAGGAATTCTAAGGACATTGCCGTAAAATAGGATTTTGCTAAATATATGAGGTGGGAGGGGAAGGATAGCTATGAAACACCAAGTCTGAGACACATCACCATGAATATTGATTACATAGAGTTTTAAGTCAAAGAACTAATTCTGCATTTATGGGATGAAAATGCATAGCTTTTTCAGCATGTGTTTCCAGTTATCAGAAAGGTAGAAAACTATGACAATGACAGTACAGCACACAATAGAAATATTAGCTATGGCAGCACATTAACAATGAGTAGGCATTACTTTGCTAACCAGAAGGCTGGCAGTTGAAACCCACCAGCCACTCCTCGGAAGGAAGATTGGGCAATCCTACTTCTGTAGTGATACTGCCTCGGAAACCCAAGGAGAGGTCGCTATGAGTCAGGGCCAACTCGATGGCACATAACAACAGGCATTACTTGTGTTTGTTTTTAATAATGTTTTCACATAAGTAAGAGATTTTATAGAAGATACCACAAAGCACAATGACACAAATTTAAAAGACACTTGCAACGAAAAGGCAATCAAATACTTAGGGCATTTCGCATTTTTATAAAATGTGCACACACACAAACCTGGCCCTAACATACTTCACTGTACCACACTGAGCCCAAAGTCCAATTTCACTTTCATACAGAAGTGCCTCCTTTATGAAAACCTACACCTATTTTCAAGAATCAAAATTCACTTGTATTAGACTGTACTCAAGTTTAAAAAACTGAATGTATTTTCTTATACCAAAATTTCTTCTAGTAGTACAAATGGCATAAATGAAGACAGAAGACTAAGTGCAGAAAAGTACCAGACCCTACTACAATGCATATTTAGACTGAAAATGTGCTTAATGGGGTTCATATACAGGTTTTCAATGGATAAAGTCATTTTTCACAAAGAAAATTCCCAAGGCTCGCTCAATAATAAATTTCCATATGAAAAATATATTTTGAGTGTCCAACTGGGCAGGAAAAAAAACTTTTAACTAGTATGATTATATATGTCAATTATTACATAAGTATTTAAATCACATGACTAAAAATTAGGCTGGTTAAAAAGTACCTGACTAGAACAAAGGAGAATTAGTCTTCCTTCAGAAGATCCTAAAATAACCTGGTAAGAATATGGTAAATGAAATGCAATACAACCAAGTGGCATACATATAAACTGACTAAAATTATAATACTTTTATTCTTATGGTATTTGCTTATTTCACATTATCTTGAAGACAAATGGATTATGACCTTTCAAAATACCAAAGTTGGAAATTTTACCAATTATTATTAATACAATAAGGGCTTTTTAGTTACAATATGGTAATAATACCTGAAAGAATTTCAATGTGAGAAAGAATATATCTGATGAATATTACCATACAGTACATTCCCTGATACCCCCACCTAATGACACGACACACACAAAATAAGCTAGGGAGCAAGAATTTGTTAACAGTTTTATTATTTTTTAATGTTAAATACCATGGAACAGGATTGTAAGGATGAAAAACTCAGTCAACAACTGCCTCACAAGGGATAAGAAAAATTCTGCCATGATATTAGCAAAGGTAAAGGAGAAAATTTACACTGTAAGAGGCACCATTTCCCCACAGAATACCTCTTGGCATTTCCTGAATGAGTGGGATTAGCAATCTAAATAAATCATATTTCAAGAGGTAACAGCGACAGATAAAATTTAAAGGGATTATTAAAATAACATTTACAAGACTCCGAACAATTCTTGAACTCTTATTAAAACCACAAAGAAAGAACAATTCTTTATTTATGAATTTCATAAAGGACTGAATGTGCAACTGACATCTGCTATTGATGATCTGGTAATATACAATTTGTCCAGTAGCCGAACAGTTTTTATTGTGTTTTCTAACCGTAAGAGATCATTAAAGGCAAAGCCTATATGATGCTGTACACACAAAATAAAATGGTCACTGTGGGCCATACTACCAATGAAATGGTAGGTAAACAAATCTTTTTCTGGTCAAGAGAAAAAAAAAAAGAAATAGCACTCTGCATGCTTCACTCTACAAGATGAATTTTCCTAGAAAGAATCCAATGAAAATGGCTGCAATTACAACAAGAAGCGAAGGAAGAGGACTGGTGACATTATCTCTGAAGGATGCAACTGAGGTTGATCCTGGTTTATCCGAATGTGCTACCTTTCTGAGCCTTAAGCCTTCATCCTAAAAAACACACACACATAAAAATGAGAGGTTTTAAAAACAAATATCCATATACTGAGACTACTGAATTTTTGCTCAAAACTGGAGCCGAAAATCTATATAGGCAGAAATTAGATCAAGTGGCTGAAGAGGCCTTGGAATGGGAAAAAGGGTCAACCCCTAACCAGCATGAGGATACGTCCTGGAGTGATGGAAATATTCTAAAACTGCTTTGTTGTGATGGTTGTACAACTCTATAGATCTACTAAAATTCAATGAATTATAAATTTACGATGTATGTATTATATCGTATGTAAGTTATACTCTAATTGTTGTTGTTGTTATGGGCTGTCGAGTCAGACCCGACTCACAGAGACCCCTCCTTGGGTTTCCGAGGCAGTATCACTACGGAAGTAGATTGCCCCATCTTCCTCCTGAGTAGTAGCTGGTGGGTTTGAACCACCAGCCTTCTGGTTAGCAGTCAAGTGCCTTAGGCACTAAGCACCAGAGCTCCTTATACTCTAATTAGAAGAATTTAAAAAAAAAAAAAAAAAATTGGAATTGAGAAAAACAGTCCTAATCAAATATGGCTATAATTAGAGGGAAGGGGGGGAAAAAAATCACTGAAATTAACACAACATCGCTTACAGAATGTTAAATTAGTTACACTTGTTGTAGCCCAATCAGTCTAATAAGATAACCTGTAGTCTGATAAGTAAACCTTATACCTGTCTAAAAATCAACACACTGTGTGACTAGGAAAATGACAGCATAGAAGGAGTGCAGTGTTTTGCCAAAGGAAGAAGTTATTATAGGATCTGGGAAAATGGGTACATTTTAATAGAGCAGCATTGTAATAGTTCCAAAGCAAAGTAGGGCCATGTGTAAAATAGTCAGCATCAGGTCTGGACTACAAAGTAGACAAAGAATCTTGTTTCTTTGGGAATTACTAATTAAGACAGATGTGGAATTTTGAATACAAAAAACCCTCAGCTGAACCACTGCACCAGGACTGCAAATTGAGGCTGGTTCTCTCTGTCAAAGTGACTTAGAGCCTTCAGATAAAACTGGGAAACTTCATTCTTACCACTATGGTTTCACAGCAAAATTTCTAACAGTCTGTGATTTTAGGGGATAAGGTTTTAAAGTAAGAAGCAACAGACATTTTATTAGCTACAATATGACCTTGTGAAAAATACTTGTAGCTGGCTTTAAGTGTGTCTGTTATACCAGCCTGGTAACTGGCAGGGCAGATTCATTTTCATTTTCTCAGATTCCTCCAATGAACTTATAAAAACAAACATCTACTACAAGAATACAACTGAGGCCATACTTTCTTACTTGCACTGTTGAGTTTTCTGGTTTGTTCTGCTTTTGTCTTATGGCATGTACAGAAAGCAATGGTTCTCAATTTCAGCTATACCTCACGAACACCTGGAGAACTTTTTTAGAAATATAAATTTTCTAATGTTGTTGTTGTTGTTGTTGTTGTTGTTATGTGCCATCGAGTCGGCCCCGACTCATAGCGACCCCTCCTTGGGTTTCTGAGGCATTATCACTACGGAAGTAGGATTGCCCAACCTTCCTTCCGAGGAGTGGCTGGTGGGTTTGAACCGCCAGCCGTCTGGTTAGCAGGCAAGTGTCTTAGCCACTATGCTACCAGAGCTCCCAAATTTTCTAATAGTAAAATTTAAAAAGCAAAGCCAGGAAAAGGAAGAGGATATGGAATATGTGGCTGATTGCCTCCTTTGCCTTGATACCAGAATAAATGAATGGTGCCCAGCTACCATTACTGAACATTTTGATCAGATTCCATAGAAGAATCCTGATCAAAAAAGGGAAAATGTAGGAATTTCAAATTCTCATGGATTTTAGACTTTCTGGAGAGGGTAAATGAACTACTGAAACTATTGCCCTGAGATAATCTTTAAACCTTTAACCAAAAATACTTTTTTAAGTCTTAAAACTACACATAGCTTAACTAGGAAAAACGGTCTGCCTTGAGCACTGTCTTAGTTATCTAGTGCTGCTGTAACTGAAAATACCAAAAATGGATGACTTTTACAAACAGAAAATTATTTTTTCAGTTTAGGAGGCTAGCAGTCCAAATTCAGAATGTGAGCTCTAGGGGAAGGCTTTCTCTATCAGCTCTGGAGAAACATCCTTGTCTCTTCAACTTCAGCTCCTGGTTCCTTGGAGATCTCCATGGGTTATAGCATCCATCTTACCCCATCCATCGCTGCTCATCTGCTTGCTTGTTTAATTTCATATCTCAAAAGAGACTGTCTCAAGGACACACCCCACACTAATCCTGTGTCACTAATGTAACAAAGACAACCCATTCCCAAGTGAAATTATAACCACAGGCATAGAAGTTAATAATTTTAACACATATTTTGGGCAGACACAATTCAATCTATAACAAACATGATCTTTTAAGATCTATTTGTATGGAATCAAATTGTCACAGTAACTCAAAATATTAGATAGGAACTTTAAGGGTCAGTGAGTTTGTGTTAATGAATGAGGAACAACTCAGAAAAGAAGGGTGAGAATGGTTATACAATTCTAAGAATGTAATAAGTGTCACTAAATTGTACAAGCAGAACAAATTGGTGCATGTTTTGCTGTTATATTCTCATAACAAAACAAAATTGAGAAGGAAAAAGTGAAAGAAACTGGTAAAATTCATTTTAATCATGTATGTTAGTTAATCTCATGTATCCAAAATATTTTAATACTAAAAATAAAAAAATTCTTTTTCTTATATTAAGTATGCATAATCAGCATGAGTTTACATTCACAGCACAGGTCCAGGCAGTTCCCTGATATGACTAGAGCACAGAACGTGAAAGGTAATACAAGCAACAGCGAAAGCTGGCAGTGTCACATGCCAGATCACAAGTAAGTAGGATGTCTGCTAAGGTAATGTGTGGTAAGTTATAATTTTAAAAAAGCAATAAACGCAATAAAATTTCAAATAAAGGTAATAAAAAAATTTTGGGAAATGGATAGTGATGATGGTTTCCCAGCATGGTGAATGTAATTAATGCCACCAAACTATGCATGTAAAAATGACTGAAACGTTTTGTTATATCTATTTCACCACAATAAAAATTTTGTAAAGAGAGTTAAGCTGCAAATGATGAGAATCCATGTAACATTTTTAGGAGAGTAGCAGTAGGAAGGACAAGCTAGGACAAATTAAGGCAAAGGAGAGAGAATTCATCAAGGACTAATTTTTTTAAATGACTGATAAAATGTACTACTAATAGTCAAATATGCTATACCTTCATGTCACCTCATCGCCCCCCCCCCAAAAAAAAACCAGAACTTACTCTCAGGTGTCGATTTTCTTCTGACAGTTTCATCATTTCTCCCTGAAGTCTTTTACACTCTTCCATTAGTTTTCTTGTTTCAGTATCATTGAGTGAAACACTATGTGGTTTTGGCATGGGTCCATCTTGTTTAGATGCATTCAGTGGAGCAGCTTTGCTAGGTTCCATATCATTCTGTATTATAAAGATATTGGAATGTTTAAACAAATAAAAATTCAGACTCCGTATCCTGTTCTTCCCAAGAAATTCTTTAAATGAAATATTTTGTGACACCTTTCATTTGTAAGAATTTTTTTTAGAAAAATACTAAATGTTATGGATGTCTGTGAACAATTTTAAAAGGCCTAAATCAATAACTATCAGTAATAAAGATAGGTCAAGGTAAGTAGCCCGCTCCCCTCCTCTACTCCCATAACCCTTTACACTTACCTCTACCATCGCACTTATCATTTGTTGTTGTTATCTGCCGTGGAGTCGGATCCGACTCATACCGACCCCTCCTTGGGTTTCCAAGGCGGTATCACTACGGAAGTAGATTGCCCAACCTTCCTTCCAAGGAGTAGCTGGTGGGTTTGAACCGCCATCCTTCTGGTTAGCAATTAAGTGCCTTAGGCGCTGTGCTACCAGAGCTCCTAGCACTTATCATATATTCTAATAATTTATTTTTGAAGTCCTCTCCTATAATACTTCAAAGGCTGGGAGAAAAGAAGAATTTCTTACAATTCTCTGTCATTTACCCCTAAGCCCAGCACTTTGGCCAACTGTAGTTATTCAATTAAAGTATGTCAATCAAAATCCAAATATAAAGTTCATTTTGAGTGCTGATTCCACAATTCAAATGAGGTTCTGGGGGGACGGGGTAGTATCATAATCATTCCAATGAAACTAGGATACTATTAAGAAAAAAACATTTACATGAAATCTAACTTCTACTAATGAAAAAAAGTAACTAAAGGACATATGAAGGGGACCCAAGTCTGTGCTCTCCCACTTGAAATGAAAATGAGTCTTTCAAATCATTAAATTACACTGCTTTAGTTCATATAATTCAATGTGGAACCACTTTTAAATATATGAGCCCTGAAATTTTATTCATACCAACACTTACCCATCTGAAGTTAGTGGCAAAGGCCTAGACATAAATATTTTGGGCAAGTGCCTTAGTATTCCTGAGCCTATCGTCCAAAGTGCTTCAATATTCTTCATCCTGGTATCATTTATACCACCACACATCATAACAGTATTAGTGTAGTCTTCTTTTCAATTTTAATTAAAATTCATGCTTGTTAAAAATTCACAGATAAAAAGATAAAATCAACTACTATACCATATTTTTACACAAATAATTTGTGCATTATACTGTTTTGTGAGTTCTTGGGGACAAACCAAGCAACACTTTTGCGCATTTGTTTCTTAAGCACACTATGTGCATTTATGCATATGGCCATTATTTACGTGGGTGCAATATATGTGAAAAATAGGGTATTCATATATAACAGATTATCTGAATAAATAAGATATTAAATAGCTATTTACAAAAGTCAACTTATGGCATGCATTCTACAGTATTCATTAATAAAATTTAATTACAGACTGCAGAAATAAGACTAGTATTTCTTACAAAGTGAATGTGATTTGATCAGTATGCCTAAATCCATGTAAAAAAAAAAAATCAATCATATTATAATGAGCTTCAAATGCACAAAACTGTATACATTTGACCTGTCAGTATTCAAATTGTTCCACTTTTCTTCTGAGGCTTCACAGCTGTAAAAGCTTACTCCAATTTCCTTCTTTAGGTTTCTCTCTCGTTAGCTTTCTGTCATTTACCTTAACTTCCCCTCAACCCCCAATCAATACCATCTCTATCCATTAAAAATCTATTTCAGATATATTTTGCTCTACTTCAATATTCTTATTCTTTTCCTTAACAGTAACTAGAATTCATTTCAATGTGATTTTTCAAGTATGCTTAAATTGCATCCAAGAATACTTCCAACTTCTAAAAGGTACTTTACCTTCCTCTGCAAAGAATACAATGGTTCCCAATATAGCAACTGAGGAATTTTTAGGTTTTGGTTAAGAATTGTGGGAAAAAAAATACTACTCACATCACAAAGCAGCCTAAGAAATTAAAGGAGATACATGAGGCCAACAACGAACAGGCAAATATTTAAGTAAGGAATTAAAAAGCTCTTCACAACTGGCTATTTAATCTTTAAATAAATTCTCTAAACTCCAGAAAATTTAGAATTATTGGGGAGGGAGGAAGGGAGACAGAGGAAATTACCTCCTTATCTCACCATCTTGAAATAACTATTATTTGTATTATCTTAGTTTCCAGTATTTTTATATGCTCATTTTACATAGCTAAAATCAGCATACATACTATATTTCATCTTGCTTTTATTCCCTGTATATACATCTTTTAATTATCACCTTAAATGACACAGTATGTCTTTAAATATTCTATTTAATGTCTAAATACTTCACTCTTGTTAAAGTACTTGAGGTAGTTTCAAACTCTAGAATTTTAAATAAATACATCAATGAGTATCTTCTTATGGTGGTAGAATTATTATTTTTTTAAATTGAAATTTTTTCTTAATGCTATTGTATTGCTTTAACAACAAAAAGGGCGAAAAATGACATAACTTGTTGGAGCACCAACATAAGACTAGAATGCCAAGAAGATGGTGAACCTCAAACACACTTCAAAAGTTAAGTCAATCAAGTCATGAAACACATTATACGGAGTTTAATTCTGTCTAGGCCCTCTACAAACCAGTCAACATACAGAGTAGATGCAAAGAAATCTAATTTATTTATGTATATTTAAAATATGAGCACATATATCCTAACTTAGTTAGGGATTTTTTTTTTTTTTTAAAGTGCTGAGTCATTCATGTAGTAACAGTCTGAAAAGCCTGATGGGTAACATTAAGGCAGGTGTGACTTTAAGCATATACTTCCATGCAGGAGCTCCAACAGTGAGGTTTGGCTCCAGGAAAACAGCTTGTTCCTTGAGAGATGCTTCAGACAGGTCCAGAAAGAGGAGACTGGTTGCTCTGAGAACCATGAAACAAGCAAACTAAAGGGATTCAACATGCTGTGACTCTTAGTAAACTGATGAATAGTAACATACAATATTATATTTAACACTGCAACTTAGAATAAGCTGAAAGGTCAGGCAGGGATACCAATAAAGATGAAATAATACAGCATACCTTCTATGTTTTCCACTCTATGTTATTTGCTCATTTTCAATAATCCCTCTCTATCTATGAGTTGAATTTACTTATGTAATACTTTTTAACAGCTAACAGAATTTCAATTCCAATATTCCTAGTGTAGATAATTACAAAGAGAGACCTGGAGATCAGAAATAGAAGCAGGAAGATAAAAAATATAAGGCAGAGTGGGTATTCTGCATGCTTCTGACTTTGAGAAAGTGGAAATGTGTATTTTTAAAAAAACAAAAGCAAAAATCACAGCCAACGAGTAGATTTCTGACTGGCTAAAGCCAAGAGCTATGGCATGACACTGTCAGGGCTAGCTTTTAAGGCTTTAACCTATGAATTAAGAGAATAAACAAGGTTACCCAAAGATTATATCCACTCCAAACAACCAATTTACCTGTTTCTCTAGGACTATAATCCCCAGGAATAAATAACTCCAAATCACAAAATCACAAAAGTACCAGATATGTAGACAAAGGGCAGATTTTTTTTTTAAAGTCTCAGTATGCACATTATGTACAATGCCAAATCAAAATATAAGGAGCCTGTTAAAACTCTGAGGTTGCTTAAGTTTCCAGTAAGCAATAAATGGGAATGGGAATCATATAACATCCACTCCATCACCCGAAAGTCACTATCTTTCTTCATGTGCTGCCATTTTACTTGAGTGACTATCAAAACACACACACACACAAATATTAATAAGCTCAATTATGACTTATTAGGGCTTTAACCACAAATGTTCCTACCCTGGGGCACTGTAAAAATCTAACCACCACAGTTAAGTAGGTTACTATTTATATTTGATAACAAAATATAAATTAGTGATTTCATTCATTTTTTTATATAAACATGAGCACTTGCTGAAGAGCAATGTTTGCCAGCTCATACCTTTGCTGCTATACTTACTGGCTATACTGCTCAAACAAGCTACGAAGTTGCTTAGTAGCTCATTAAAAAGTAATAAATCAGGAAACTCTTTTGGAGTCTGCTCCAAAAATCTCAGTGACAAGAAAAAAATTTTAAGTTCAGAATAATGCTCATATATACATTTGCCCTGTGCACTACTGAGATTAAACACTAAACTAAATATATACATACATATATACACACAATAGTTTGTTCACTTGATTTTTAAGTGCTTTGTGGTTCTATTATAATAACACATTCACAATACCACTTAGCTGTGAGGTATCTACATTAAACTTTGTTTTAATCAGTAATGCTAGTAGACACCTAAGTATGTTAGCTCCCTAACACAAACCTTCTGCTTCTCCTGTTTGAACACATTGAGTCCCCTGGGGTCATTCTTCATATTATAACTGGCAGGTGTTGCAACTGTGTTGTTGATGCTGCTCACTGAAGTAATAGCCGTGGCAGTCCCTGGTACAGTTATACCCTGAGGTGGCATGGGAAACATATTCTCAGATTGACTTCAAATTCTGAGTTCTCCTGTGTGATACTGGGAATGACTGACATAAAAAGCATTAGGCTCTAAAACATTCACATTTTACTCTATTAAACTCTGTTATGCATAAAAAATAATACCAATAATTAATAACTACATTAAATATAACTTTCTGACCTTTTGTATTTGTTTGTTGATATACTATTTCTCGACAAATATAGCTATAATCAACTTGTATTAGATTTACTTATCAAATTTATATGCTTTCTTAAACTATGCTGGCCTACTGTTATCCTGAAATGAATACCTTTTAACTCTAATTCTATGGCACTTAATGTTTTCACTAAATACTGAGTATCTGAAAAACAAGCATTGTCATGTTCTCTTACCCTTGGTAGGTAAACACTTAATCTGCATACTAGTTTTAAGTTAAATAAATTTTCCCTTACAGTGAAAAAAATGTAATGATATATGTAAGTCTGTCTTGTACTCAACAATATCCCCAGATACACACACATACAACACAC